GAAAGGTTCTGGGTTCATGTCCAGACCTCCCTAAGTACACCAGGCACACACTGCAGATGGAGTGTGGTGTCAAGATCCTATTCAGGTTGCTATCTCTCTCACCTCATGAAAGAAACAATAAACTTTTTAAAAAGTATATGCTTTGGCTGATGTATTTCTTGACCTTATTTCTTGACCTAACTTGTGGCTTTGCCTAGTAACCCTTCTCAAAATTTCTCTCTTGTTTATAAACCTATCAATCTATTATTTCTCAATCCTAAGTTTGACTGCCTTCTGCTCCCAACTACAATTTTCAGAGTATTTGCATTGGTTTCATGAAGACTGCCCATTCTTATATTTGAATGTCTGTTTGAGTCCTTTCTACATTTAGATTAATATCTGGTCTTGAAAATCTCCAATAAATGAGGATAAATAGAACACCTTCTACTTGTGGATTCATAGTTACTCACATATAGCAATGGCCTCCTTGTTCACCTCAAAACTGCATTATCTCATAAGACAACTTCTAAGACAATCAGATTCAAAAACAAATCTATATTTAGACCTTTCAAGACCTTTTTTTTCTTTTTTTTTGAGAGAGAGATTTTTGCTATAGGACCTATTTGCTCAAGAGAGAATATGAGAAATCACCCCCCAGGAGGGATCCTTTCTACTCTCAGAATTTTGGGCACAGATGCATGTACACCTGGCATGAGTTTCAAGCTGCCAGGTCCAAGACTCAAACTATGATTGGCCATGTGCAAGTGCAATACCTTAACCACTATGCCATCTGCTGCCCTTTGTAGCTATTAATCTTAATCCATATGAGTTTATTTATTTTTTGAGTGAATATTCATATAAGATTTACTAAGATAGACAAGCCCAAGAAAATGGGAAAAGATAAATAAATTTTAAAAACACAAAAACTTCTGTCTCTTAGGTTTTTTGCTATACTTTTTAATAAAATGAAAAAATTTGTTTAAAAAAAAAGTAATATTCTAGCTAGAATTTGGATCATGGGGGGGATCAGCAGGTGGCATGGTGGGCATGGTGGTTAAGGTGCTGGGAACTCCCACATGGCCAATTATGGTTCAAGTCTCAAACCTGGTGGCTTGCTTTCTCACTTTCTCTTTATCTCTCTCTGGTAGAATTAAAATAAATGAATGAATAATTTTTTTTAATTTTTAAAAAGAATTTGGATCATGGAGACACAAAATGAGATGGGATCCAATGTATAATGCCAACTCAATAATTAAGCATTTTTATATAAAAAAAATTGAGGGAACCAGCAGTTAGCGTAATGGTTATGTCGCTGGACTCCCACGTAGTCGACCGCGGTTCGTGTCCCAGACCCGGTGGCTTAAAACTCATGCCGGGCGCGTGTGCGTGCCCGGGAGGAGAATGGAGGAGAAGGGATTGCAGCGTTACCATCCCCCCTGGAGGGTGATTTCTCGCTTTCTGTCTCTATGTCTCTCTCTGTCTGTCTGGCAAGCGCACGCACCCTATAGCAAAAATCTCTCA